CCCACACACATATGTGCTCACACACACACACACACACACACACACACACACACACACACACACACACACACATATATGCATGCACACCATACACATGCACATGAAAAGAAGAAATTTTTTTAAAAAAGAATAAACAGGAAATTGGAAAGAGCTGGAAACCATTATACTAAGTGAGATAACCCAGTTCCAAATAGACAAATGGAACACATTCTCTCTCATATGTAGATTTCAGCTTCAAAGTTTTAGACTTATGTTTTTAATTTGGAGTGTCTTTAGAATTCAGAAAGTTAGAAGGGCCAAAGAGAGGGGCAGAGGAGGAGGCCTCATGGGATTAAGGGGGAGTAGAATGCATTTGATACAAAAGTGAAGGGAGGGAAATGGGGTTAAACATTTAAGCAAGGATGAGAGCTGTGGGACAAGGGAAAGAAGTGGGTGGGGTGGGTTAATCAAAACTAATGAAGTATGAAAAAACCTTATGGAAACCCACTACTTTGTAAGTTAAATTAAATATAATTAAAAACGTAAAGGAGTTTGAACATAGATACCCTGAATGGGTGGATGTTTTCTTCAGAAGACAGTTTATTGAAAGCAAATTCCTGTGCCAGGCAGAGAATACCTCCCTACAAGTATTGGTCAGGGGGACCCCAGAGACCCTGAAATAACAAAGGCTATTGCTATTGCTCTTGGTTGCCCATTATAAGTAGATGGTAAGAAACAGACTTGCAGACTTCTTCTTGGCTGGCTAGTTTTTATAGTAATGGATAGTGTTATGCAGGTCACTGGGGAAAAAGCTGTGAAACGTGACTTCTACAATACTGACTCACCAGGAAAGATGTGCCCAGTGATGCAATAATGGCATGGAGGTTGTAGGGTAGCAAACTGCTTTCTGATTAGATTTGACAACTGTTTCATAGGAAGGAATTCATACCTGCCCTGTTACTGTAAATTTGGTCAAATACACGTGGCTCAGAAGGTCATAAGCCTTAGAAGAAAACCCATTTCTTTGTTTTGCTAAATGGATATATTGTTAAGCTTCCTTCTAAAAATTTATCTTTATATGCATATATTAGTGATTTTAAGCCTTGGCCAGAGAAACTGCTCTTTTCAGTGGGTAGCAATTAATGTAGAGACTCATCATTGCTCAAAGTGCTGAGAGTAAGTGACTGTTGAGTTCTTGGCGCTAAATAATATATAACTCTCTAAAAACTCGGGGAACATCACTGAAGAAGGAATGGAAAGAATGTAAGAGCCAGAGTATAGGGAGGAGTGCTATAAAATTCTGTCTTTTGGACATAATATGGTTTGTGGTGCTCATGAACTGACTGTAGCTGTGGAAACTCAGGGAACATCACTGAAGAGGGAATGGAGGAAATGGAAGGAATGTAAGAGCCAGAGTATAGGGAGCAGTGCTGTAAAATTCTGTCTTTTGGACATAATATGGTTTGTGGTGCTCATGAACTGACTGCAGCTGTGGTCATCTGCACCAGACCTGCACAGGAACAAGCCAACAAGACCAGTCAGTTGTTCCAGCAAGCAACAGTAATTGTAATCAGAAGGTTATGAAACAAAAGCAAAGGGAGAGAACATGAAGATAGGAGGGAGCATGAGGGTTGTCTGAGAGGAGTGGTGGGGGATTGGGAGTGGATATGATCAAGATACATTGAATGAATGTTTGAAGTAGTCAGAAAATACATAAAAGTTATTCTAAAGAATGAAAAAAATCCTTTGTTTCTATAGTTAGGTTTTACTTTAAAAATTCCCTTTTCTAGAGTTTTGTTTTAATACTTTTACGACAAGAAATTGAGAAACTCCAGTGAAGGGCACACACACACACACACACACACACACACACACACACACACACACACCACAGGTGGTTGGCTATATTTGGGCAATGTTTGCCAATTCCAGGTGACCACTTGTTTTTGTACATGCTATAAGCTGTGAATGGTAATTATACGTTTAAATAGTTAAATAAAATAAAAGGGCTAACATTTCATGTCATGTAATTTATGTGAAATTCAAAATTTAGTGTTTAATGAATGTATAAAGAGTGCGGTGAGAGGAAGAGGTCTGAAGGGAAGTGGGGGGCAAGGCGATAACAGACTATCTACCCTGAAAGGAGGGGGAGCTATTCAGGAAAAGAGTGGGAAAGGGTGTAGGAGGAAGTGTGGCCTGAACAACCTGCACAAGCACGCTGCAAACACGCCAAAAACATCCGGCTGAGTCAAACCTGCATTCTGCCAAAAGACGTAGAGACGGCTGATGTGAAAATGGCCTGATACAGAGAGCCAATGAGGAACAGACATGACCTATCAATGGACCAATGGGACACCGGGAGTGGGGATATAAGGGAGCCCCATATCTGCAATAAACGAGTCTGCAGCTGCTCGCACTGCCTGTTTCTCACCTGACTCCCGGAGTCTGTGTCGTGACTCCGTGCCGACTCTACCCCCGCCTGGAGCGCCCCAGGACATCCGCAACAAAAGGGGAAAGGAAAGCACAAGCAACCAGTAAGAATAAGTATGAAGAGATGTATGAATGTTTCCCAACATCATAGTGAAACCCATCTCTTTGTACTGAAAGAAAAAAGAATGGCATTGTCAGTACAATAGGAAGCAAGCAAACAAAAAACGAGTGCAGATAAACCCAGTGCCGTTGGAGGACAGCATGGCCATTTGTTGGCATGTTGTTTCTGGCATCATTAAGGCTATATTAACAGATTAAGTTGGGGTGACAGATACCCCCAAAGCCTACAGTATTGGCGGTCATGTCCTCTACATGGTTTTTCCTAAATTTCCTCTTGATATGTCAAAAGCATGCAATGTGGATTATGTATTTGCTAAGAAACTGTTCCTGGGATATTATTTTGCTGAACTTCTCAGTTAAGGAATTTCTTTAGAGATTAGAATCAGGAAGAAATGCCTTTTTCTTGGATTGGTCTTTTCTCTACAATTGATAATAGCTAATACAGATCCCAGTTCGCCTTTTACCCTGCATGCCAGGATGTTAGGAGCGAATGAGAACATGAATTAGAGTGACTCATTTGTCTTCCTAGCTTTCATGCTTGCTGTTTTCGTTTTAAGGTAGTTGTGTTCCAGGGATGTTATTGCATTTGTATGCTCTTCCTATTTCCCTTCCTCACTTCCCTTGTATTTTGATTGGGAAGTGTTCTGACTAGTTAAATCAGTTGCTAACTGTGATGCAGTTTAAGCCTGCATCACATTTACAGAACCACAAATTCTACAATTTTACTTCCACCTGGGTGTAGATAGAATGGTTTAATTTGAATGTTTCTCAGATTTCAAAGGTGACATCTCTGAGTATTGAGAGGCAGTGTCTCTCAGAGTTAGGACCTGGCACCTGGAACTTGTGTATCGGTTGCTTGGGTAGGACTGCCCTCATTACCCAGTTACCAGAGGGAGGAATAGAGCGAGGTTAAGCATATGGATTGTGACATTAGAGAGGGTAAAGGCTGAATTCCAGTTCTACCAATAACTTTAAACCTTCACTTCTCTGAACCTCAGATTTTCCATCTCCAAAGTGGGACAATAGCAGTTTCTCTCACAAGGAGTGGCTGTGAGATTTAAGTAAAAGTGAGAAGCTACTGAGGCCCTGTGAGGCCTGGCGCAGTGCCTGACAAGGAGCCCTGTGCCACCAAACATGTGGCCTGCTCCACACCACCTGGGAAGGCAGCGATGAGGAGCTCCATGATAATCCAATCCCATTCTACTGATGATGGGCTCCTATGCAGGAGGAGATACTGCACTTATTTCCCAAAGCTTCTAGGGAGCAGTGTCTTGGCCCCACAGCCAGACTCCAGGGGCAGGAATTTTAGAACAGTGTCTAGGGTGCTTGCTCCTGATTCCTTGTGCTGAGCTTGCCCACCTGAACTCCAGGGGACTAACTCTGTGCTCATGCCCTTTCACTACCTCAAACAAATCTAGAGACACCTGTCTACACAGAGATTTCCAGACCTTTCAGCAGAATGTCATGTGATCTGAGGAGCTTTCTGATTGCTTGGCTTGGGTCTGACCTTAGAGGGAGGCTCCTAGGCCCCAGACTTGCTGCTCCTGGTGTTGGAGGGTTGACTGACACACCCTGCCTAGAGACTCTGGGTCTGAATTACTTGGAAAAACTTTGAAAAATGTGTGAGAAGGGTTCTGAGGGAAGGACAGGAAAGAGTGACTAGCTACTGGACATTTATTTTCTTCAGACATTATGAACTTTTGCAGTGATCTTGCTAAATGGTGTTATGGTTGATATTGTCAACTGGAGAGAGTCTAGAATCATCTAGGAAAAAAAAAATCCATGGGCACTCCTGTGAGGGATTACCTGGATGAGGTGAAATGAGGTGGAAAACCCTGCTTGGCTGTGGGTGGCACCATTTTTTAGGGTGGGGTCCTGGACTGAGTTAAAAAGAAGAAAGTGAGCTGAGCACTAGAATTAATCTCTGCTTCCTGACTTCAGACACAATATGATCAGCTGCTTCAAGATCCTGCCAACATGACTTCTCTGCCATGATTGTCTGTATCCTTCAAGAAATATATTCTTCCAAATAAGCTCTTCCTTTCCTAATGCCAAGATAAACCCTTCCTTAAATTGCTTTTGTCAGATATTTTGTCACAACAATGAGACAAATAAGGAATGCAAAAGGGTTAATAATTTTTAAATAGGGTTTCACTATGTACTTCAATTTGACTTTGAATTCAGAGTCTTCCTGCCTCAAAGTTCCCACACACTAGGATTACAGGAATGTGCCCATGGAAAGTCAATGATCTTATTTTCAAAGCCATATGATTTTATTTAACTAGAAGTTGGTTCAAAGTATCTTGGTACAAATATAGAGTGCATTAGGCAGAAAGACTAACATAAACTACCTGGAGGATAAGGTCCCAATTTTAAATAGCAATAAACATTTACTAAGTGACATTCTAGGGAGTGTGGGTTAGCTTTACCAGCAGGCAGTTTTGATAGGCACTGAAACTGGAGCCATTGAGCCATGCAAGCTGGGGGCAGAGCAGAATTGCTCTGTGTGGTGAAGAATGGAAGAGCTGGAGAAGCTGGATCCTGCAGGGGAAGGACAAGAGAGTGGGAATGCTGGTGCGGGTATAAGAGGGACCTTTGAGGGGAGAGACATGAGCACTTTAACCTCCCTGTGGTATCTTCAGGAGAGTCTTCCCTCAGACCTGTGAGCCAGGGGCTTTGTACAGAGCTTGAAGAGGAGCAGATCTGCACTATGAAATGGAGGAGGTATGCGGGGCAGAGGTGTGGCCTGGGTGAGTGAGACTAAAATAAGAGAAGTCAGAAGAAGAAGCTGGGTGGAGCAGCATCATTAGCTTCAGGGGCTCTGGACAGAAGAGAGACCTTTGAATTTCTGAACCTCTCTGGCTCCAGGGATGTTTATGGAAAGGCACTTAGACTGTGAACTGAACTTGGTCTGGGCCCAGTTAGGCTAGACTAACTGCCTGGCCCGCATGGGTTCCTGGTTATTCATCTGTCAAATGCAGTGTCAGCACTCAAGAGCCCTGAAAGTTCATTTCTACCCTGTTAGTCTCTTTCTCTGTCCTTCCTTTCAGTCCCTCATCCCAGGTCCCCATGCAGGGGAGATGTTCAACAGGTGACAAAGAGTCCCACCCAGGGGTCTCAGTTCAGCTCACCTCTCTTGATGGGTCCGGGCAAGGCAGGTAGGTTTTTAGAAAATTTCTTCCCTAATATTTTATGGTGTAACATAGTGTGAGCTCTGCGACTTAATTGTGCTGGTGGATTTTATGCTGAGTATCCTTGAGAACTGAAGCAGTGAGGAACGCTCTGTGAAAAAGATAAAGGTTAGGGGTTTGTCAGGGAGGCAGAGACAGGATCCAGAAGAGTGAGGCCGAAATTCTTCATGCCAAGCACCACATCCTCTTCCACAGGCCCATCGGGAGAATGATGTTCTCACAAATACTGCTGAGAAACGGTCCTGATCTGGATCCATGAAGTTCCTGCGCCTGTCCTGGTTCTGCACTCCTTCTCTATGTAAATCACCATTCCTTTCTGAGGCTCAGCTTTTTCTTTTGGAACTATGATCTTTTGCTCTCCAGGGTTACAAACAGTAATAACAGTAGCATTAATCTCAGGAGCTTGTACTTACTATTTATTGTATATCAGACTTTGAGGCTTAATGTGGATTATCATGTAACTCACACAGCTCAAGGAGGCAGTTGTTTACTTTCCCGTTTCTCAGCTGGAGAAACAGAGGCAGAGGAAGGTGAAGTGACTTGCCCAGGGTGTTAGTACCATAACTGGATCCTATCTTGACCCAGCTTCCATGTCTGTTCTAACTACTGTGCTTCCAAGTGCTCCTCTTGAGAGCTAGGCTTGAATCCCATGTTCAGCTCTCACAGATCTGTTCTGAATGCCTGCCTCTCAACATTGGAGTCCTCTTTCACAGGGGCTCCGAGGACCTCAGGAGGGCCTGGGATTGTTCTTAAACAGAAGTAAGTGAGACATTCTGGGGTCCAGTAAGGGACTCCAGAAAGCCTTCTAGTTCTACCTTAGCTTGGGGCCTGCACCCTCCTTTGACAAAAGCTTGTCATGTCCCAAGGAAGACCTGCCGTGAAGGCTCAGTGGTGATGATAGGGTCCCAGAAGGATGTATTGGGGCTTTTGTATACTCACTTGACTTCAAGTCCTTCTCTGCCTGGGCCTGGGTGCATAGAGTCTTTAGGGCCATCTGTTCCCAGATGTGGAGGGTGAGGTCCCAGGCCTGTTGATTGCCATACTGAGCTACCAGGTATGAGGCCACTTCTGTGCCACTCATCTTCTCTGACTGAGCTGGTGTCCTGGTGGAAGAGCTCTCCAAGTGTGCTTGGCTGAGCAGCTGACACCAGAATTCCTTCAGCTCTTCCTCTTTCAGTTTATCCAAGAAATGGGCCAGTTAACTCTCGACTGTCCAAGGCAGCTCTGCCCTAGGGGTGGGGGCGAAGGACACAAGGGCACAGTAGACAGCGGTTTCCCTGTGCCTTGGCCCCCACCACTTTTAATGCAAGGCTCTCATTGGGATACTTTCTCATGGCCTGGGAATCTCTGTTCAGCCTACAAATTCCAGGTTTTTAAACCTTATATTATCTGATAATAGATGGTGATGGGAGAAGAGAAGGGAAGAGGAGTGAGAGGAAAAACCACAAGAGGGGAAAGTCTGAGAAGATGGGAGATACAGGATGATGTCCTACTATGTATGCTTACTGGGACAGGGCCTTGACCTACCCAGGGAGAGTGATAGGGAAGGGGGAGTTAGGAGCATGGACATTGGCAAGGTGCAGGTGTGGGGAGATGTAGGGATGGGAGGATGAGGTCATAGAAGACCAGGAGGGATGGAGGATGGGTGATGGGGAATGGGAAGAGAGAGGAACAAGAGGATGAGGGGACAGGAGGATAGACATCTGGGAGGATTTGGGAAGAGGAATGAAGGGAGAAGAGGATGGGGAATGGGAAAATGAGGATGGGCAATTAGGAGGATGAGAGGTTAAGAGGACAGAGGGATGGAGGATGCAGGATGGGCTATACGTAATACTTATTGTTCTGGGGTCCTCGCTTCTTACTTCTGGGATCTACACTCATGATTTCAAAGCCTCCATCCATTGCCCTGACAGAGGGTGAGGTGGAAGATGCAGCACAGGAGGTAGATTTGGAGCCAGACTGAAGCTCAGGTTTGCCCTTTTGAAGGTCTCTTTAGACATCTCCTGGTCTTGTATACCACACGGGGAACGACTCAGAGTCACTTTAGCATGAAGGACAAGTTACCTTGATCCAAGAGGGTTGTGGTCAGGGAGAGGAGGCTCCAGGATAGACCCATGCTATGGCAGGAGCAAATATATAGAGGGTATGGATATACCCAGCTCTCTGCCACACACCCAGAGCTGACCTTTGGGCTCTCCAGGCAGAAGCTAGGTGCCTGGGCCCTGCCCTCGGCATGCGTTCCCATGTTTGCCACAGCAGCTCCTTGGTGGACTAAGGCTAGAGTTTATCTTTCCTCACTTCTCACGGTTTGGGGGTGGGTTTCTGGGGCCCACTACTCACCCTGATCTTCTGAGGGACCCACTGATGAATGTGTCTTAGGCCAAAGGGGCTGTGTTCTCCAGAGAACCCTCAGTAAACAGGTCTTTGGAAAGTGAAAGAACTTCTGCCCAGTCACTGCAAAGCCAGGCCTCAGGGAGCCTGCGCAGATGTTCTTCCTCTTTACTCAGTTATCAGAGCTCTGGGACAGCAGGGTAAATAATGACACCACTCACCTTGATTACTATTGTAAATACCACTGGAAATTTATGGAGCTGCCTTGATGAGTCCTGGACTGGAGGAGCGAGGCATGGGACCTTCAGCCAGCTCGCAGAGGCTTTACCTCCCTGAGTGGAGAATTCCCATCCCTGAGCCTCACGTTGTTCCCATCCCTGAGCCTCATATGTTTGCCAAGAGATCCTAATTCCACAAAACCTCTTGAATTATCCCAGATCTGAACTCTAGATCTCTCCACATCCTCCCCACTCCTTTACCTTCCCTAGCTCACAGGCTCTTTTACTTCATTAATTGGCTCTTCAGGCACCAGATAGTAATTATTTCAATCCTGGCATCTTTAGAATCTCATATCCAATCTTCAGGTCCCACTGAAACCATCAGGTTTTTAGTATGTATGCATGTTCATTTGCAAGTGGGCACTTGTATACATGTATGTTTGTAGGGCAGAGGTATACTCTCCAGTTGCTCTCCAGTATATTTCGTGAGGCAGCCATCTCTCACTGATCCGAGAGCTCATAGATCTGTCTAGTCTAGCTACCAGCTAGCTGATGGATCCCATCTCTTCTTTCTGAGCTCTGGGATCACAGGCCTGTAGCTATGCCTATGAGGCATTTATGTGGGTGCTGGCCACTGGAGCAAACATCCTCATGCTTGTGCAGCAAGTGCTTTGTTTCCTGAGCTGTGCCTCTAGCCCTGACATCATCTTTTAAATAGATGTGGATCTTGGTTCTTCTCACTGTGCCCAAGGAGACCACTGGTCCAAGCAGCGCCCCGTCTCTGCCCCAGCTTCCTAACTCTCCCTGCTGATGCTTTCCAGTCTATTCTCAGTCCTGAAGCCAGAATCACCACCTTATATATAGATTAGTTCATCTTTCAGCCCAAACCTCCAATCCTCCCTATCTCACTCTGTGTGAAATACAAGTCCCTCCCAGTGGGTCACAAGGCTCTACATGGTCTTCCCAGCACCACCCCGAAGTCTTTCTGACATTAGATCCTACTCCGTGCCCCTCTCTCACTCTGCCCTGGGTCCTCTTCTCTACTTTCCTATTCCTTGAGCACACCAAGGGCATGTTTACCTCGGGATCTTGCATTGGTTTTACTTTCTCTTGGAAGGAGTTTCCCTGACAGTAAGGGGCTTTTTCCCTGCCCTGTGGAACAGCACTGCCCTTCTAGAACTTACCCTACTTTCTTCTTCTGCTTGACACTAGTTGCCACCCAATATCGCAAACTTATTTTCTTTCTGTTACTTCTACCTACAAATGAATGAAAGCTTTGCAAGACAGGACTCAGCCTGTTCTGCTGATTTTTTAAATTCAGAAATGTTTATAAAAATCATAAATCAAAGTTTTTCAGTCCAATGACACTGAAGCACTCTATGCCTTCCCGGAGGCAAGTTATTCATTGCTCTCTCATATCAAAAGAAAAACACAGAGCCCCAAACTATTAAAACTGTTCAGTATAATGTCAGCTTCTTTCACAGTTTGTCACCAAAATATTAAATATAATTTGTATTAATTTTAATTAAAAAAAGGTATTGCATTGTTTTAAGTAAATTAATCTAATATTTTATCAACTGATAAGTAAAAGAGAATGAAAGAATCAAAGTTTTGAACTTTAAGTAATAATTTAGCTGTGAATAACTTGCCTCCTGGAAGGTAGAGAGTACTTCAATGTCATTGGACTGAAAAATTGATTTATGGTTTTTGTAAATGTTTCTGAATAAAAAAGGGGGGACGCTCATTCACTGCTGGCGGGATTGTACACTCATGCAACTGCTATGGAAAGCAGTGTGGAGAACTCTTAAAAGAATAAAAATGAACCTACCATATGACCCAGTTATACCACTCCTTGGCATATACCCAAAGGACTCATCCTATTGCAGAGACACTTGTACAACCATGTTTGTTGCTGCTTTTTTCACAATAGCTAAGAGATGGAAGTAACCTAAGTGCCCCTCAACTGCTTCTGTTTGTATTATTGGTGTGCCTTACTTGTTTTCTTATTGGGTTTGTAGAGCTGGTTGGTCTAGTTTTCAGGTTCTCTCAGAATTATTTTGGAGGGAACTTATGGCTTCAGATCAGCTACTCAGGAGTTCCCACAGAAGCCCAAGTCAGGCACCAGTCAGGTACACTCAGGCTTCCTTCTAAAGTTTGGACTCTTACTAGCAGGTACTCAGAGCACAATTTAGGAAGCGCCGTGAGGGGAGGCCTGATTTTGGCACTCTCAGGCAGTTTTCAGTGCTCTCAACCCCTATACTAGGCGGAAGCCAGATAAGATGTTCTCAGGCGGTCTGCTGAGTTCTCAGTGTCTAAGTCAGACAGAGGCCAGAACAGCCGCTCTCAGGCTGTCTGCTAAGGTCTCAGCCTTACCCTACCATAGGGTAGAGGTCTGCCCTGGGAATGTGGGAGGGACCTCACATAATCTCAGTTAGGGGATTGGGTAGGGGTGATTTGGGGACACTCATCAGCATGTGGAGGCCAGATCCAGGCACTCAGTCTCAGGCTGTCTGCTGAGTTCTCAGCTTCTAAGTCAGACGAAAGTCAGAACAGCTGCTCTCAGGCTATCTGCTAAGGTCTCCTTATAGCTATATTTATGATTTATCTATCTATCTATCTATCTATCTATCTATCTATCTATCTATCTATCTATCTATCTATCTATCTATCATCTATCTATCTATCTATCTATCTATCTATCTATCTATCATTTATTTATTTATTCTTATTTGTGTGGGTGTGTGGGTATGCATATGAAATGGTGCACATGTGGAGGTTATAGGAAAATTTGCAGGGGCTGGTTCTCTCTTTCCACCACTTGTTTCCCAGAAAGTGAGATTAGCAGACTTTGTGGCATGTGCCTTACCTCGTAATCCATCTTGCTGGACCCTCGAGAGTTATTTTTGTAAGGGATATTTAAAAGTACTTCTAATAGGCAGGGCTGGAGAGATGGATCAGTAGTTAAGAGTGACTGCTCTTGCAGAGGACTGGGGTTCAGTTCTCAGCACCCACACGACAGCTAATAACTGTCTGTAACTCTATTTCTGGGCATCCGACACCCTCATCTGGCTTCCATGGGCATTGCGTGTGCACGGTGCACTTACATACATACATTCAGGCAAAACATTCGTACACCTAAAATAAAAATAAAAACAAATGGGGCCAGAGATTGCTCAGTAGTTAGAGCACTGGCTGCTCCTCCAGAGGACCTAGGTTCAATTCCCGGAACTCACATGGTGGCTATCAACAGTCTGTAACTCCAGTTCTAGGGGAATTTGACATCCTCTTCTGACCTCTGTGGGCACTGCACAACACGAGTGCACTTACATACATGTAGGTAATACACTCATACACATAAAATAAAATAAAAATAGTAAATAAAATATTAAAAAGCACTTCTAATAAGGGCTGGAGAGGTGGTTCAGCAGTTAAGAGCCCTTGCTGCTCTTGCTGAGGACTGCGGCACGGTTGCCAACATGCACATGGCACCTTCCAATTTCCTGCAACTTCAGTTCAAGATCTGACATTCTTA